TGGTTTCAATGGCATTTGGTTGTATTTCCATATTGTCTTTGATCCCAATGAATGGATTCAGAAAATAAAAGAGTTCAGGTGTAAGAAGATAAGTTTATAGACGTCTTCCATCTGTCCAAAAATTTGTGACTTTTGTGCATTCTTTTCTTTTTAAGACCAGCTGTTCTACATGGTTATTCTTCAGTGGCATATTGATTCTTTTGGCATGGCATATAATTGCAGGATCGATAAAGGAATAGGGTGCTCGCCTGTGTGATAGTGTTTGGTGGCGGATAGACATGCTGTTCATGGAAAGTTTTGTTTTTACATCTGAAGTTGAACTCCTGGTGTCTTTTTGGATCCGTTTGATACACAATGAACTTGGTCATTGCTACAAAATATAGGCACATAGCCTACTTTTAGAACCGTTTTACTAGCTTACTTTTTAAACTTCCTTATGAGTTTCAGTTAATTTGGAATCACTCCTGGAGTTCCATAGACATACTTCAAGTTTGTGATATCTGGCCACGTGCCCATTTGGTGTTCCTTGCCCTCTTGCTGTTCCTTGCACAGTGTATTGGAGCTAAAATTGTTGGACCTCTCTGGGGTCAATGCATTTCCTATAGGGTTATTTGTTTTTAGGCAGTCTAGTCACAGTTTTCCAAGTCGTGAAATGTGAGTTTTTATCTAATGTCCATCTCTGGCTGTCAATATATGGGCTACTCTCACCCTGAGTCCTCCATTTTGCATCATCATTTTAAAGCATTTTTTGTGCAAAATTTTTTCATATTTTTATTCAGATTTTTTTGTCAAAATTTTGAGAAGTTTGAATAAATCTTAGTGTTTTTCCCCCTGCTAGGGAATGGGCTGAGGAGTCTTTCATTTCTCCTTCTCTTTTTTTCTTTTTCCCTTGGAAAAATGTCATTTATAATTTTTGAAAAGATTCAGTTTCCTCTTATTTTTCTTTACTCTAAAATTTTTCTTCAAATGTGTGTACACTTGATTTTTTCTAGAGTTAATACTTTTGTTCAAGAGTTGTCAATTTATTTCAGTGTTTACGTTTTGGTTTATGAGCATCAGCAGGTTGTATTATTGCTGCCCTCACGTCAATTGTACTGTCTATAATGTCTAATTTAAGTTCTAATGCATGGTCCAAAATTTTGCTTAGTGGATTGTAAAACTTGGGTATAACAGTCATCTAGGGTTTGTGTCTGCATATATCACATAATGATTCATGTTGAGAAATATAAAATACCATTGCAAGGTCCAATTTGTTGCTTCTCTTTCATATATTGGAAGATATAGTTTACCAATTGGGCTTTAAGAAGTTTAGTTTCATGTTTCACTGCTAATCGTTTTGTTTGATATAAGTTCTTGCCATCTGTTTGTCATGCATGTTCATACAAATAGCAGAAAGGTGTAAATACATTCATGCATATGTCATACATAAATATACATGCTACTGTGCATGTGTCTACATGTTTGATACGTGTTACTAATCAAAAAGAAATGGTTGGAGTATGAAGATAAAGGCATGCCTTATTCTTCAAGTGAA